AATGGCAAAGCGGGTAATTGCAAATAGGACAGTCCACACCCAGAACCTAAAATGAAAAAAATTACTGAATATTATTGTGGCCAGTAAACACAGACATGAATCTTGTTTCAAATTGGGGATACAATAGAGTTTTCCTATAATAAAAGAAAAGACATTGACAAATGTAATCCAGTTTGACTCAATTGATTTCTATGAAAAGTTACTTCAATTGTGAAATAACACCACACCAGCTGATGTTATTTTAATGGTTGTTGTGCCATATTGTGTAACTATCCAAATTAATGTATTTGAGACTGGGGCAGAGTCCCTTTGTTGTTTTTCTAGGGCCTCTGCACCTGGGAGGGAAAGGAATCTTATAGGGGAGGGGGTAGCCTGGGAGGGAAGGAGGTAACCTTCAATGGACAATTTACTATGGGGGGGGGGGGGAAGGGGGCAGGTAGCAGTACTCCTGTAGGATAGATGTGTGTCAGTCTCAGCTGCACAGGACAACTTACCTAACTTCTTAAAATGATAAGAAGATCATTCTACTAAAAGCAAGAAATAATTTAGGAAAGAATTGTGTTTAACTTACAAGCTTTGAGCCACATCAGCCTTTCCACTGATGTTTAACATTCTTATTCCATGATAGAGAGTCTCTACTGCATAATGAACGACCAAGCAGCACAGGGTGACATGGGTGAAGCTGTAGACAACATGAACAAATTATTATTACATTTTGTTGCAACTTTCTGGCCCACAAATATTCTCAACAAGTATGGTCATGGAACACTAAATCAAATACACATCAATTTACAAAGCAATTCTCAAACCTCTCAGTATTATATAAAACATATAACATTAATAAATAATAAACTAAATCTTACTTCAGCATGTAGGCAGCCCAGATAAATAGCAGATATTCAATGTACAACTGAACTTTGGGGAAAATTTCTTCCTGCAAAGAAAAACAAGAAATGAGCTCCAAGCTCAAAACTAATCTTCCCTCTTATTCTATTTACAAACATGATACTATGGACATTCCTGATCCTAGCAGTATGCAGGATGCATGTCATGTGAACTTTGTAATAGACCTGGCTCAGAGTCTCTGTGGCTCAGTGGTAGAGCATTAGAGCATGGAACCCAAAGCTCCGAGGTTAAATTCCTTACAGGTACCCAGAATTTTTCTTTGTTCCACACTTGTGACAAGACAAAAAGCATCTTTCTCTATTTCTTTACCGAGCTCAAAACTTACCATCTCTCTTACTCCATGTTCCCTACTCTATGTGAGAAGTGTGTAGGTTCTTTATTGTAGTAATATTGTATTAAGCTATTGATTCTTACCCTTTTTGCTCTTGTGAAGTAGAGCTCTGGAAAGCAGTGCACCCAAAAAGAAATTTGAAGGATGAAGTAGAACTTGAGAGTGAATCTAGTGGAAAAATGATCATTTAAAACAACTGTGTCAATAAATGAATGAGCTTTGAGCTGCCTAACAAAGACTGGGTTAAATCTATTCTTATGTGATATGAGTAAACAATTTTTAAAATTCATCTCAAGATAATTTCTAACTTTCAGGCAAAAAAGTGCAAGATACACAGGTAAATTATTCAAGAGGACAAGAAAAATTAAGTGAACTTACGACATTTCGTTGTGTGGATAGCCGTCCCAAAGCTTTGAAATATTTGGAATAAATCCTTCCTAAAATAGAAAAGTAAAGTAAAAAAGATTGGACCATAAATTCAGTGAATTCCTTGCTTAGAAGTGATTAAAAGAATATGGCCTACACACTTGAAAAAAATGTCCACTACATTTGTATCATGAATTTTTTATTGTTGTTTTGGGTGTTTGGGAAATGGTGGTTAAGAATGAGACACAAATTTAAAGAAAGAGGCTTCCCACAAGAATTAACCAGATTAAAGTAATTTTTCTCATGAATAAAATTTTAATGGGGAATAAACAGCCAATAAATAGGCTTGCGCAAAAAGCCTCCGTGAATGGTGATCAGTAATGGCCAAAGGAAGGACTTCACCTGCCTTGTACATCTTAAACATAATAGTCAATATCTCATTTATTCAAAAGTTTTCTCTTTTCTAGCAAAATAGAAATACAACATGTTGGAAACTTCCCTAAATCTGCCGTAGATCTTTCCACACTATAAAAACATTTTACCTTCACCACAATATCTGCTCCCCAAGCAGCAAAGAAGAAATAGAAAGGAAGTAATGTTCCAGAATCATTGAATTTTGTATTCTTTGTCTTTGATAGACGAAGTTTTCGAGAGACTTTCTGCAACCAGAAAAGTAGAGAAACAAAGGTTAGTCAATAATAACTTTAATTCTTCACAAGAACAAAAATATTATAATTAAGGTAAAGATTTGCTCACATCCCAGACATATTCCTGGATGATTGCATGCACCACAATCCATGCCATTGAATAAAAGAAAATGGTGCAGAAATCCTTTGGTCCATTTGTGTATTTGGTTGGCAAGTCTTCTGTTCCTAAAGGATGGAATAATTTACAAGTCAAATACACAAATATCAAGATCTCCATGCACTTCATCATAATGAATCATGCAAATGTATGGAAATACCCTACATTTTGAAAGTGTTTTACTTTTTTTTGCATTTCTTAAAATCTTTTAATCTAGTAATTATATCAGAGAATCATAAATAAAAGTAAAAACTGTTAATGTAATTATTTGGTATTGAGATCAAAGCAAAGCAGATGTAAAATATTTTATATTGTTGTTATAAAAAAATAGAATAATGTTTCTTCTCCCTAAACACTATGGGCTTGTTTCCTATAAAATAAGGGTGGGGAGGGGAGGGAGCAGGTAAGTCACTAATGAAACTGTGGTGCTGAGTTGATAGGAGAGTATTACAAGATAATTTGGTTCTTTCAACTGAGTTGATATCATAAATGGCTACTGTAAAGACATGTTTACTTTGACAAAGAGGTAACATTTGAAATGTCAGTTTAAGAAACTCTCGACAGTGGCCAATTTCCATTAACAACTTGGTTGATAAAATCTAGTTATCTCCTTTCCTATAGGCCAGGTTCGCAAAATATACATAATTATTTTAAAGACAAACTTTTGGTCAACCATAAAGTATATAATAGCATAAAAAAAATTTAGAAGATATATTAACAGTCAGTAAGATTGTGTTTAAATTGTCAACACAGTACAGGTGTATTGAGGACCATACAGATTTTGAGATGTGTAAAAACTGGAGATAAAAAATTGAAGGAATTATTCAACCTAAACAGAAGTTTTATTTTTGAAGATTTTTATGGAAAACGACACTAAAAAGATTTGAATGTACAATTTTCTGTAGAAAAAAAGAGCATTTAAAACGAAGTTGTATCATTCCATTGTCTCCTTAAAGTGACCAATCAAATATGCACACGACAGCTTAGGATTGAACCTACAAGGTAAGGGTAATAATTGATGAAGCTTTTGTAAGAAAGGAAGATCCTAATTTAGCAGTCGAATAGCAGTTAAAGGATAGTGATGTACACTTGATTGATGCCCCAGGACAAGGAAAATACCACTAAGTATTAGCTACATGCAGTTCACGTGCTGTTAACTGTCGCTTGTCTCCCAAACGGATGCAGTTAATTGAATTTTTTAAACGAAAAACACATGGAAATTTTTTATTTCTACGTACCGTTCAGAGTTCTCGACACATTATGTTGAGGCGCGATAAAAACTGACGCCACTTTGGATGTTGCCTGGTAAGACGGAACCAGAAGAAAAAAATTCAAATTTAGCTGATTGAGAAAGAACAATTCAATTATCTTGCGCGAGATGGTTGGCGAGAAAACTTACGATTATTTTACCTGGAACATCAGCCCGATCATGAAAACCATACATATACAGGAGACTATATCTCCATGATTTGTTATCACAAATTCATGGCTAAGAATCGGGGCATTTTTGCCCGATTTTCGCCGGCTTGGCATATTCTTCGTGTCTAAAGAAAAACAGCCGAGAAGAAAAGAAAGAATAGAGAGTGGTTTCCAAGCTCTGATCGCATTTCCTCTCGTACCCAGTGCATCATCCGGACAAGTCACATTGGAAGTGGGGAGGAGAAGGGAAGTGACTGGGTACCACCCACTGAAAGGAGTAAATGTAGATAGATTCTAGATAGCTCTGTCTCAAGAAATTGGATGTCGTAAGAATTTTAGAAATTTTGAGGATTTCTCGCAAATGATTTTAGCAAGATTATCAGATTACTTTAAAGAAAATTTTTTTTAGTTTGTTCTGTTCTTCTCCTCCCTCTTTCGAAAACCGACCGAACGACAATTTAAGGGCTAACGCTCGGAAAGTCAGCCTTTAAACTCTTTGCAGTGGCTAATTTACGTTTTCAACTCAGTTATTAACACTAAATTACCTAAACGATAATTTATTCTGTTGTTATGCCTAATTTTGACTAAGACGTTCAAAATTACGGATACGTCAGCAATGTTTCACTTCTCAGGTCAGCTAGAAAATGGTTTGCCTATCGGGGGAAAACAGCTCTAGTTTGCGGACAAAATGAACAGGCCATTTCCCCCTTTTTTCGCCAGAGAGGAAAATATTTGAAGATTGGAGGAATCTTTCTGGGATTGTTAGACTTTGTTTTCGAGAAGTATTCAGAGAAAATTTGTCATCCGGATACACCTCACAGAATTTTCCGGTTTTTGTTTTCTAGCTCTCTGACGTTATGTCAATTGTGTGATTTTGTTTTTACCATAACAGTATCATTTAAGTGTTAAGATCGCCAGCTTGCATGGTAACTTTGACATTAAGTCCCGGATGACTTCCAGTAAGTGTCAGGAAAATTTCAGATCGACCTCACCTGCTCAGTGGTACTTTCTTCAGAATTTCCTGTTGATTATCACCTCAGGGGTTGTCAGCGAACTTTGTAAGGAGAGAGGTGTATGGGCTAATCTCTCAAAGTTGGCTGACAACTCGCACAATATCCTTTTGTTTTACCAGCCAATCACGAAACATCCACACAGGATATTGTTCACGCAATGTTGTATGGCGGCTGGAGAGCCGATCACTCTCAGTTGTTCTTCATGTAAAAACAGTTACCCTGACCAATATATGGATAGTGATCTCTACAGAAGTTAACATAAATGCCTGAGAAAGAAGTTTTACTGCCATTGGAGTTATGGCGGGTTGTATTAAAGCACCTTTCAGTGCAAGATTTGTGTCGATGTTCGCAAGTTTGCCAAGAATGGAGAGAGCTTGTGAAAAGTTTAGATTCCACCCGTTGGAAAGAACTTTTCTTGGCGTCCAAGCGTTGGAAACATCCTAACTGGCCAAATTACACACAAAAAGAACCATCTTCATGGAAGGATACATATAAGACTCATTATATGGCTTCGAAACAATGGGTGAACAGGAGTGTAGAAGTTCGCTGTGCTCCTTGCTTATATTTGTTTAGAAGAAGGCTCGAAAGACGACGTGTTCTCCGAGTAGGACGTGGAAGAGAATTTCTGACCATCAAAAGCGCAATAGCAGCTGCAGCGCCTTTTGACTGTTTACTTCTTAATGCTGGTGTGTACGACGAACAGCATGTACTGAGCGTAAAGTTTCCGATCGAGATTTGTGGTGAAGGACAACTGGGAGATGTTCATTTACAGATTCCTATTGAACAACAAGCTTCAACAACACGGATTCAAAATATTATTCTACAACCCGGTGTACAGAGATCACAAAACCCCCTTCCTGTTATTTTGAAGGTCAGTGAAATTTATTTAGATCTAAAGATAATTTCCGCGACATCAGATAATTCCAGCTTCGAATGTCTAGTTTGAGCGGCCAAACCTACTCGGAAATCGCAACTTTCTTCTTTGAACATATTTACTTATCACCGTATATATTTTAAATCTCCATTATAATAAGTTCAAGACCTCCCTATGTTGTGCAGCCAATGTATTACTTATCCCAAAAGCCTGTGTTCATGTTCCCTTGTACATTTCCAGCTACATTTTTCCTAATAGTTTGAAGGATAGACTTGCCAATCTTTATCTAATACATAAGTGAGAGCGTTAAAATAAAGACTTAAAGCAGACCATGAAATTTCTTTGTGTTCGTGTATATTATAATTCTTAACTTGATAGGCAGGCTACCAATTTGGAAAATACAAACAAAAACATGACACGTCTCAATTCTGACAATTTTTCATTTGGAGCAACAAGGGAATGGAAAATGTCTTTTTAGTGTGTTAGTTCCAATTCAGATATGTCTTTACCATGTGTCAAATCTTAATTTTTGCAACGCTTTGTAAATTTTATCGATATTTTAAATTTTGCCAGTAGGAATTTTGAATGTTGCCATGCCAGTTGTTGAGTGTAAGAAAACTGAAAAGCTTGTTTTATTAACTGTCCTGTAGATCAAATATGCCACTGAAAAAAGAACATTGAAAATTTTAACCAATTGTTGTTATTGCCATTGGTTGTGATGTTTCAAATTTCAAAACATTTGTCACTGTGCAGATGAAATTTAGCAGAGATGTATGAAATTGAATGTTCACAAAATAATCCAACCCACTGCTTGTGATAATTTTGAAACAACATGATAATGTTTTGCCAAAGGCTAAAATAATGATTATAATTCCATCAATCCTATCAGTGACAATAGTGTGCATTTACACGGCAGGAAATGTGTGGGGTACTACAATAAAACTGTGTTTGAAAAGGAAAAACTTGATTTTAAAAGGGTTGAAATTTTTTTCCATTATCAAGTTCTTCAACAGAACATTTGATTGATTCTAGAGCTGATCAATCACCATTATAGGCCTTAAAGCCAACACAGCAACAAAAGGTGGGATTATTATTAAAATTTTCTTCTTTCAAAAAAATTATCAAAATTTCATATTTGGGATTCTTATCTTTAACGTTGTCTACTGATTTTAACTTTTTTTTCTGTATTGAAAACAATAACCTTTTACACAGCTAAAGGTCCTGCTACCTTAGTGTTTGTATGATACACCAATCAGACTGGGGCTGTTGTCAAAAGCCACTTGAACAGGGTGATTCTTATTCAAATGTTCAGTTTTGTCTTTGTCATTGTTTATGTGACCTTACATATTGAATAAACATGTCACCTTCTCTTTTACCTTGGGCTAATGATATTTCAAGGAAAATGATAATTTTCTGGGCAAAGGTCAAATTGATAGAAGTAATTTGATATCCATGGGTTAAGCTTCTTGCCATCAGGTTGGAAATGAGTTTATCTTTTCCTTAAGTGGATAATAGCATTTGATCCACCAAAACAATTTTACTGTGTCTTCAAAATTTTAGGTTGGAACTGGACATGTTCAATTGGATAATTGTGTTTTGGAACATGGTCAGGTTCAAGTGTCATCACCTGGGAGCATTGTCATTCGTTACTGTACATTCAATAATGCTTTTGTTACACTGCGCTCTGTTGGCTACAGCAGAATTGAGAATTGCAAGTTTAGCACAGAGGAAACCTCTGCTGTCATTATTGAAGGACTGCCACCAATTTCAAGACCTAGGCCGATATCCAGACCTGTTGATGACTGGATGGTGTCCAATGGTATTGACTCTCTTGGTCTTGAAGACTTGTATGACCTGTCAGTTGTTGATGGGGAGGTGGGGGCACGTAGTGGTCTAAAAGCAATTCCTGACAAAGGTTTACAGCCACTAAATAGCAAATGTCCTCCAGTTGTTACAAAGAGGATTGACAGTCAGTCTAAAGGTTTCAATAGCAGCCAATTGACTGCTCTGACTGGTGACACCTGCCAATCCAGAAATCCCCAAAGTGTTGGCTGTGATTCCTGTCCAAGGCGATACTACTTGGATACACAATGCCGTGACATTGTTAGGTCCATACATGGTTGTATTATTAGAAATAACTGCTTTTGTGTTGGCAAGGGAGCAGTACTTGTCAGACGCAGGGGACATGCCTGGATTGAAGGAAATGAAATTGGCCGTTTGTCACATGGTGTGAGATGTCTTACAGGTGCAAAAGTCATCATTTTGAACAACAGAATTCACAATTGTGGAACATCTGGGATATTTTTTAGGGAGAGATCCACTGGTTTAGTTGCTGGAAACCACATTTATGGAAATAAAGAAGCTGGAGCAGACATACGAAGTGGCTCAGATCCAATTTTACAACACAATCATATTCACAGTGGGAAACGATCTGGAGTGGTCATCTTAGATCGTGGCAAAGGTGTCATAAGGGACAATGACATTTATGACAATAAAGAGGCAGGAGTCTATATTCTTTATAGAGGAAATCCCATTGTCAAGTATGTCATCATCACAGTTTGTGTGCTTATAGCAAAATGCATTATCATGTTAACATGGTGAATCATGATAATCTGATGCCCTTTTGGATTACTTTGCAGGCACAACAGAATTTGGGCAGGCCGTGCAGCAGGTGTGGCAGTCACAGAAGAAGGAAGAGGTCACATCCTCTACAATGACATCTGTGGCATGGAGTGGGGAGGTGTTGATATTCGTAATGGTGGCAACCCTGTGGTCACAAACAACTGGATCAGGGATGGGCATGCTGATGGCATTGTCATTGGAGAGGGTGGTAAGGGAGTCATCATGGATAATGATATTCGAGGTAAGGTACTTTTAGTAAATGTCCTCGAAGTAAACATTAAATTTGTTTCTTGGTTGTTTTCTGTTCTTCAACTTGTGAAATCCCTTCCTCCCTCAAGCTTGAAAACTGTGCCCATTTGGGCCAAACATCATGTGAAGCTTGGTAATTCTCTTGATATGATTCATGGGTTTACTTCTGTGTAAGATCCTGTGGATATTTTTCTCATCAATATTTATTTCAGTCTGTTACTATGCAAGGCTCTCTTGATTAGACTTCTTTGATGAAAGTGACAAGTTCTTACCAGTATTTGAAGGATGAGCTAAATTTGTTTTTAATGTATGATACTTTTATTAGTAATGTTTAGGAGCAAATTGTGATTTGCATCCTCTGTATGAACTAAAAAATACCTGTCAAATTTTCTCACCAATGGTAATGTATCTCTTTACAATGTACAGGCAACAGTGGTTGTGGGGTCTGGATCTTAACTGTGTCTAAACCACTCATCTATGGAAATCGTATTGTGGACTGCGGTGACAGTGGAGTGGCACTTGTCAGTAACAGTGATCTTCACCATGACAACCAACAACTCAGCTCACAATTTGCACAGTCAGAGCAAGAGGTGAGATGTAAAGGGAAATTACCTAGTTGCTCAAACACAGGAGTTATATTTTTGGAAGGCAATTGTAACAAAATTGACATCATATCTTCTCAAATTAAGATATGCTGCAGGGCCATGGGGTAGGTTGTTATATGAATTTGTCAGTTGGTTCCCTGCCTGAAGAAAAAGAGAACCAATTCTCTCTTTTCAAATGAACTCATGACTATCCTTGAGGAACTGGTTAGTCAGAATTCTTTGTTGGTCAGTAAGTCAGTCAGTTTGAAGGCTGGTCCATCAGCTCCCATGATATTTTTAGCCAAGACTTGCTGAAGGATAACATTGTTTTCCAGGAACAGCAAGTTCAGCCTCTGTTCTTTGATGAAGATTTGTCATCTACATCAAACTTTGAGGACCATGAGCAATCAATTGACATGAACGGTTAGTAAACTAAACAACTTCAGTGGAGATGAGTTTCATTTGATGCACTGATTAGGTGCCTTTTAAACTCACATTGCCAACTTGTGGCAATCTAAGGTGTGGCTGTCACCTCTGTATCATGGATTAATTTGTAATTAAAGAATTTTCCTCTCTCTTGCAAAAGGTTACCTTTTTGATAAGGCTTCAAAAAATAAATTTGCTTATAGGTCTTTTATGATGAAAGGATGACTGGTTTTAAGTTAATCCCAAATTTTAGTTTCATGATGTATTTGATGAAATTATGATTTCGTTACAAAATACCGCTGACGTGTATTGGAGCACCTCCACGCGTGTCAAATGCCTGTAATGCGTGGGAATCACACGCGCTTCAGTGCATGTAGTCACGCGCGTGCAAAAGAAAAAGTACATAGCGTGTACGCAAATGCGTGGAATTTAATTCGTGTGTTCCCGATCAGTAGAAGACAAGGAGGAACACAATGCCTGCACACCAGCACTCTTGCCAACTGTTGTAATAGTTTCTACATCACCGAGATGTAATGTCTTTTTTTAAAATGATCTTCTTATGATTTCTGGTCTTTGTTGATTGAACAATTTTTTTTAATTTTACCAGGTCCTCGACCAGATAAAAATTTCGCGTGCGTTGATAATAACACAATCTTCGACAATGCAGGACATGGGATCCATTTTTCCGGAAGTGAGGGTCTGCTCATCCGGGGTAATAACGTTTATAACAACGAAGGTTGCGGTATTAGCATCGCCAAGCCAGCGGAGATTACCATTCAAGATAACAGTGTTTGTAGGAACAACAGCTCAGGTGTCTGCATTGAAATTGGCTGTGCTGCCAATGTCAGCGGTAATGGTATCTATGGAAACCGAAAGCATGGTATTATTGTGTCTGGTAAAGGTCTAATTAAAGAAAATGACGTGTTTTGTAATGCAATGAGTGGTGTTGAACTCCGAGGACCAGGGGACCCTTACATTACTCGAAACCGCATCCAATCCACGGATAACTATGGGGTGAATATTCTGGAAAATGCGCGTGGGTACGTGGACAGCAATGATATCTATCAGTGCACTTCGCCAGGAATATATCAACACCCAGACAGCACAGTGCTGGTTATAAATAACCGTATTATTCCAGTTAATAATGGCCGTCAAGTCTGTGTTTTTAACCAAGATACCAATGAATGTAGTCATAACCCCGAGGGACTTGAACTGGATTCACCTCCTCGCCCCTTATTGCCTAATAAGGAGAACAAATTTCCCAGGCCTCCCGTGTCTCGTTTGTCAATGTCATCCTCTGGAAATGGTCATATAGTGGCTGGGATGGCCTCGTGTCATGGACGGAGCCGGTTTTGTGTCATTTCTTGATGAACATTTTCCCTCGGGGGAATGGAACGTACGTAAGATTTTCCGCAACAAGCCATAGTATATTGTATAAAATCTAGTGTATTGTTTATACTAGATTGTAGGTAGTATATTTTCCAGAAAAGATATCATAGTAGCTAATGTAGTTGTTGGTCCGTGAACGTATAGACTGGTTTACAGCCTAGGTAGGGAACCTCTATCATAATAGAAATTCCTCGTCGACTCATCGTACCTTCCTCTTACAAGACTTTCGGTGATCTTCGCCACCTGCACATTCATTCACTGAGTGTATTATAACTGATAAATTGTTAAATTAACTTTAATAGACAGTTGCATCTACTTTTCTTATGTGTGAAGCTTTTCAATCAATAATGTTAACTTCGACAACGCAGTTTATCCCCTGTGCTTCTCATAAGGCTTTACAAGTAAAAAATAAATGATGGAGTAATAAATATTATTGAGGAGTAAGAATAAATAAAATCTTGCTTGTAAACAACGTAAAGGTGGCATACGTTTCAAATTTTGCAAAGCTATGGGTGAACCTTTATTACTGTAACTTAATACGTTGATAAAGGACGAACTTTTTCCGTTGAGATTCCAGTTGAGATTCTGCTCTCCAGGTATAACCAACCTACATGTACAGCTCGGTGGATCCGAATCAGAATGTATTAACATGGCTTCCCGTGTGCACATTTAGAAAACAGAAAATTAAGGAAGAAAAAAGATAAGTTAGAGGCTCGTGTTTCCACTAAGGATCGTTACAGTCATTGAAATTACCCAAGCTATCCAGTCCAGTTAAAAAAATTGTGTAAATTGCATGAAAGCTGTTTAAATGAAGGGGGCATATTCTCTAATGACCATCTATTTCTGCGAACAATTCCGCTCTCTGCGCCTGCGAGATGAAAATCTAGCAAAGCTTCTGTTACTAAATGATTATGTACGTCTGCCGAACAAAAAAATGCCGTACCCTTAGATTGTCATTCGCGCAAATCGCCAAGCCAGGGTAAATCAAATTCCAAAATTACCCCATTCAGACTCACCTGATTCGCTCGTAATTAACCGCTTACATGCGAATTTAATTAGCATCAAATTAGCGCATACAAGCGGTCAAAGTAGGGCCTATATTCCTATTTACCTCTTTGTGGTGAACGGGAGACCCTTAGCACGAAATTGGATAGATTCTTAGTCTCAGGGTCCATCATTTTTTTTCGCCAGAAGGAACTTGGGGACCAAAACACCGGAAATAAGATCGTCATGCAGACGAGGCTTGAAATTTACACGGCGCCGCAGAGGAGAACTTTTCAGCGAAAATAATGAAGTAATTCCCTGAGGATGGAAGCTCGTTTCTGGCCGTTTAATCGTTGTTTCTCGATGTTTTAGGCTTTAAGAAATCTGCATGAGATCGTTATGCCATCTCTTGAGAACTATATTCAGAAGATTCATAAAAAGCTGAACAATGAAGGACTCGAAGAACGAAAGGTAAACTTGTCTTTGTGTATATTGTTACCTGCATGCTGTGGATTTAGCAGAATTGTATTAATTCCTGTCCCTAAATATGCTTCTTATTTTTCTTGTAAGATAAGTGATTTAGCTAAAACTTATACTACATTGAATTGCCTGCCTTGATTAATTTTCGCTTCAATTTGTAGATAAAAAAATATCTTGAAGAACTTGATCGGCTAAAAATCACTCTGGATGTTTTGAAGGTAAGTTTCTTCGTAATTTGCATTTTATTTAATTTCCATTATCTCTAAAGATTTAAGCGATCATGTGGAGCCTGAGAAACTTTTTCCACGTGTGAACTATTTGAAGAGTAGAAATATCGAATTATATGCTACCTTTTGTTTGTTTTTTCTTAGAGAAAGGAAGTTTTTAAATTGAATTATCATTTGATTACAGAATGATATGTGAATCTGATCTGTCTCCCTCGTGAAGACAAGATCACGTTTTTTTGTCACGCGTGTAAGCTACTTTTGATCTGTTTTCAATCCATCTGTGAATCTTTTGGAATCAGTGTGATTTTTTCAATCTTTTGTTTCCAACACTTTAAAGTTATTTCATGTGGTCAGAGTAGGAGAATTTACAATATTATCGACCGAGGGACATGTCTCCAATATGACGTAAAAATAATGATTACGTTAAAAGAATGCTGTGTATCAGTTTCTTAGCAATGATATCTGATGATGACTTGTTCAAAAATATTTCCATGTCTTTTCTCTCAAAAGTCAACTGGGATTGGAAGGGCTGTGAATCGTCTCCGAAAACGAGGTAGTGACATTGGTGACATTGCTTCCAGTCTTGTGACAAAATGGAAAGATCTTTTGAAACAAGATAAGGACACAAAAATTTCACCACCTGATGTTGATGAAAAAGATCTACTTGCCTCTTGTGGTCCCACAGCAACTGAATCAAAGGTGGATCTTCTCAACAACAAACATCACAAGTCCAATCACAGAAATGGAGAAGTTAACCCAAAGGTACCATCTGAATTATAGTTCTGTGCCCAGTTGACTAAAGGGCAAATAACCCTATCCAACAGATAAATCACAATCCAGTGGACAAGTGTTAAAAATACATGCTGCACTATCCACTGGATAGAGAATTATGTAGTGGATAGCAAAATCCCTGCTTCAAACAATGGGGGCTTGGTGTAAAAGTGTGATTGATCTTAAGCACCAAAAAGTTGCAAGGACTCCTTGAATTCTATAAAATGAACTGTAAGTAATTAAGGCATTAAACAAAGGATGCATGATCTTAAACAGTTACTGAAAAAAATTTCATTAAGGTTGTCAGCAGCCTGGCCTGGTCTTTGCTATATGAAGCAATCAGGAGTATGTCCTCCCTCCTGTATGGGATGTTAGTACATCTTCTTTCCTTGTTGTGAAGTCTGACTTGTCTCCCAAACATTTTTTACAATAACATGTTTAAAATTCTGTGTAAATTTGACTTAACTTTCAGACACGGCCAACACCACAACTCTGTGATGTATCATTTGGATGTGAACCTGTTAATGTGAAACCAAGGAAAAAACCTTCATCATCAGCTGGTACAGCAACAAAATTGTCATCACATGATGTGAGAACAGATGGACTGGAGCTTCCACCTCTGCCATCATCATTTTCAGTCAACAACTCACTGTTGCCAGATATCCAGCCAACTTATAAACCAACAAGACTACCTGAATTCTCAGATGGTTCACCTAAAAAGCATAGGGGTATTGAATAAAAGCTGTTATCTTTTTTTCCTGAAATCTCTCATGCTCCTCGTTTTCTTCTTCTCATTTATTGTTGTCATGACTACATTGTGCCTTAAATTTTGCGTTATCATTCATGTGTAAAGAATAGATCTTCAAACAAGTTGTACTTATCTCATATGTGCAGCCATGAATAATGCCAATCATTTGTTTTACTTGAGCATCTGTTGTAGCTTAAAATGAATCTCAGGTCAACATGATTTTTGCCTGGTGTGATTTCTCTTCCCCTCTATTCTAAGTAGTCAGAATCGTGGCCACTAAAACTTGGTCCAACCAGTTTGAATTATGTCAATCTAACATAATGTTACCCTGCATAATAGTGAGATTTCTGGAATGAGATATGGATGGTAAATAATTTATGAATTCACTTGTATTTTTCATCCAAGGGAGAGTAACTGGTGAGGTTGATGAGCTTGCACTCATGTCTAGAAAATCACGCACTCAAGTATTCTCTGGACGAAAAGTGGCAACTACTGTTACAAGTTAGTACACCTTGATTTTTATTTTTGTTAGCGTTGATCATTTTAGTTCCTCTTTCCATGCCAGGAGACCCCTTTATCTTGCTAATTGCCATTTACTTTCATAGACACTCATAATGATTGAAATTACTTTTTAAATTAAAATTGCCATGAATTATAATTTTTATGATAACTTGTCTTTATACACCCTTTGATCCCTAAGAGTGACTATTTAGATGGCGCTGCAGAGGGGAGTGACTAGTGACTTCACCCCTGAAGCACACATGAGGGTCATGAGAGTAAAGGAAATGATCATCAACTAAAAGAAGCTCTTGATTGTTTAACAAATTCTCCTTGTTAGCACCTTGGGAAATGTATAGAAAACAGTATGGAGAATATGCATATTGATGTCAGGGTGTAAAGGGTTAATTACAACTTAAACAGTACATAGCATATGAAGTAACTACTGTAAGCAATATTCTACTTTGAGCAGATTTTTAATTCTGAGCAAATTAGGCTTCTTACAATGATTCGAATGCTAGTGAGTTTTTGTTTCATCTCACAGATGTGTCATCTCTGTTTGAGTTGTCAATAAAGAGCTTGATTGAGAACATTGATGGTATGTATTCTCATTCCTGATTTATTTGCACCATATATCAATTACAAATGATAACAAATTTTTACAAGGCTTTCATCGTTTATTTGCACAAAAACGGATTTGTTCTTTCTTTGATCTCTGTCGTACTCCATCCCAAAGAAGGGATAGATTGTGGCCACCAGAATATAACTATATTTTTCTGTATACCTATCTGTATCTTTCATGGCAGCTGCAGAAGTGAAATGTTATCATCATTTGTGTTTTTCCATATTTACTCCAGCTCTCAGTGAAACTGGTGGAGTTCCTTATAATATTCTTCACCCTGTTCTTGAAAGGTAAGGTTTTTTTTGTTCAATCTAGCAATCTAATACAATGCACATATCAAGTATTTTTAAGTCTTCAACATATTTATCAGAAGAACTGCATAGTTATGAATAATGGTTAGACAGTTTGTACATAGGTCACCAAAGTATGCATGTGGCCTGTGTAGTTATCAAGTACGATTATCAATTATTTTAAAATTGATAAAGGATTATTAAACTATAGAGCCTCAATTTGAAACATTTTTTTTTATAATTCTTGACATTTACTTTTAAATTTTATGCGATAACCAAGGGCTAAATGTGGTGATATTATTTATCATGTGATTTGATTGTATTGATGCCAAGGACAAAATGAGCTTAAGTCATTTTCACTGTTAAAGGAGCAGTCAAATTTCATTTGTGTGGTATATGCTTAGTTTATGAAAACTGATTGATGAAGTTTGCCATGATATAATTAGCTTGAGTAGAAAAAATCAGTTTGATTAGTCAGCTTCAATCTGTTAATAAAGTAGTTTTGTTCTGTTTGGTTTGTTGGTTAAACACTCAAATGACAAAATCTCCTCACTTGACTCTGATGACATCACCTGCTGTGGTTGTCAAAATGTCTGTCACTGTTATTGAAAACAGTCCTTCACAGGCCTATTCTCACCATGATGATCACACTGTACAATGAACTGACTGTCCTGGATGCCAATCATTTACTGTTTTGTGGTGTATTTTTTAAGGTGTTCTCCACAGCAACTCTTGCATTTGGAAGAATGCAACCCAGTAAGTGGAAATATTTTGTAGTTTGTTGTGTCAGCTGGGTAATAAATATTAATGAGACATCTTGAATAAGGTTGTTCATTACAAATTTCCCTTAATAGCTAAAAGTAGACAAGAGTTACTCCTAATTATCTGAATCTGCAGCTCATTTAATTTAGTTGATTATTTTTGTCCTGCTTGATTAATAATTTTCCTCTTGCTTTGAATATATTTGTATGCTGTATGTGAGTCAACCAGGTACAAGTGAACATCTTGGAAGAGGGAAATGAAGGTAACTTACACCATAGCAGTGAGACTTATACCTGACATTTGAGAGTAAATTTTTTTTTTCTGCAGTACTTCATTGATGATACTGACCCACTTTGGGAGAGGCACTGCTGCAGAGAATTCAAAGGAACAAAACCAAAATCAGGGCAGAGCTGGAGAGAACTGTACATGGTGAGTATTGTGCTGTTACATTATAGTAGCTACAAACCAAACAGTTACAGTGTCTCATTTCTACACTGGTTTCATCTCCATGGTGACACCAGCCTATGAGTTAGCCATCATTAATGCTACCACCTGAACAGTGACACCATGCCTCGGCAGTAATATCAAACCCCTTTAAAAAATATCTCTCATGCCCTTGCCCCTTCTATTCCTGCATCAGTGCATGCCTTCAAACAGACAATTAATGGTAACACTGTTTTCCTGACTCTCCTCTGACTGCTGAATCCTAGTCAGACTGTGTGCACATAATAGAACAGTGTCAACTGAAGGTCTATGTCAAATTTTGTCTCTCCTACAAGCAAAATGAAAGTGAAAGAGAAGTGAGGCTAAAAAAAATACATGCAAAAATAAGTGCCAATCAAGCAGCAAAAACACCTGGTAGGTGGAAATGTTAGCTGTATAGTAACATAAGGACTTAACAGAGAAAGATGTAAAACTTTGTTTATGATTATGACAAAGATCAAAGTTAAAGTGCTGGTTACATAATGAATCACCCAAATCTGTAAATTGATTTGGGGATCAGATGTCTGGTACAATTTGTTGATTTCTTGTCCTGTTGAGAAGTTGTTTTGGTTGTCTTATAGTTTATGTTAGCCATGAGTTTTACAAAGACATTAGAGTAGAAACCTCAGGGGTTGCAGCTGTGTGACTACAATGCTTTATATACTATTTACTACTTACTTTATACAGTAAGTAACAAGGACCAATTTCCTTTCCTTTGGCTTTTAAAGGGTGAAGTTTGCCATACTAATCTCTCAGGTTTGCACCAAAAAATTTATCCTTCTTTGCAGAACGGCAGATCAAACTTGCCTATGTTGAATCAGAAGCCAAACCTCCTCGGGAGGTGCTAAGAAAGCAGGCTAGATTTGGGACTGGCTCCAGAAATCACGCTGGCAAACATATGGCCCCTCCCATAGCAAGGGCTCCACAGGGACACCAAAGGAACCACAGTGCTTCACCAACCAAAAAGCATGCATGTATGTATCTGTAATGACAGTATCATATTAACTGAATTCCACTAAATATTTGAAATAAAATCATTATTAATCAACAAATTAAATTACATGATTTTAGTCACACAATTTTGGCGGTTATTACATGTACATGTATGTTAAATAATTTTATTGTGAATGTTCACTTTTAGTACCAGCACCGATGATGAAAAAGACAATGAAACTCTTCAAAAACCAGAGGTTAGTCAATTTGTGGAGACATCATGCTTCTGATTTAGACCTACAGGTGTAAAAAAAAAAAGCCTAAGAGACCATCTTGTGATCTTGTGAGACAATCTATGTTATACCATGACCACAACAATGATTATTTCATTGTAGACCTCGAAGTGCTAGTATTCCTATGACACTCGTCCTCATGAATTTTCCATAAGGATCTGACCACAAATTGTGTACCCTGGGAGGGGTGGATGGAGACAGGATATTGTGTATTTTTGGGGTATTGAGGGAGTGTTGCAGTGCCCAGCCTTTTTCAGATTTGACATTCAAGAATTAGATTGTAATGAGCTTGTGTCTTAGATTTCAGAGCTTGTATTATTTATTTAAATTCTCAATTTTCCTTTTAGGAGCAGAGCGGCAACCAGCATTAAGCGGAGGTAGCATTTCTGTTACAGTAAAAATGATTTCATTTTGATTAGACTGTTTGACTTGTAATCCTCAAACAGTAATAAGGACATGAGATATTTTCTGTGAAATTTTGGTTCTTTTTCTCACTGACCTGCAGTTTAAACAGAAGTAAGTTCCAGAGGTCATACAATTTCAGTCACGGCCATTAAGAATTTGATATAATTATTTACCACTAAATGGATATTGAAATTCAAAAGAGTAACTTTACAAGTTCAAAACTACCTTTATATGTGCTGAAAGTCTGACTTTGAACTCTGCCTCTGTAAGGTGGGCCTACATAAAGGATTCAGCTTAAGTACTTGTGCTGATTTTTACAGGAAAATCACTATTTGAGTGTGAATGCCACTTTGTGTAGCTTTTTCTTGTTCAAGTAGATCCTAAAGAAATGCATTGTGTTACTTGTGCCAAGAAATATTCAAAGTGGCAAGCATTAAACTTGGATTTTTAGAACATTTGAGGAAATTTTTGAATGGTTGGCTCAGGTCAGTTGGAATCTAAACATAAAATCAGTGGATTAGTTCCATAAATACTTTTTAAGAGGTGAGATGAAAATGACTTGGATTCTGGAGCAGAAATCCTTCAATAAGGGCAAGGGTATAGACTTAGAAGTAATAAACATGTAACGTCTCCCTATAATATCCATCCATTATCCTTCAAACTGGTAACGAGAATACTCAAACAAACCAGATAAAAATTGTTTTCTAGATCTAACACCAAATTTTTATAACTAATTTACAAGAAATGTGTAGTAGCTAGTGGGGTAAATTAACAATCAGATCTCTGGAGTTAAATGGTTGAGGTAATTATCATGACATTGAGTATAATTCAGGTATAGGTTAGGCATGTATTGACTGGAGGCAAGTTTAAAATTGTTTTATATTAGTAAACTATTTATTGTTTGCAATTTTGTGTGCAGGGTATGCAATAGTATTTGCCATTTCCTCTATGTTGCTTGTAAAAACTCAGGCAAAGGAAGGGGGAAATTATTGGAAAGAAGGTATTGAGTGACATCAAATACTGAATTCTATCATCAAAGAAGGTGTGAAATAATTTAGTAGGTCCAAATTTTTAATTTATAGGAAGAGAATTGTAAATTCTTGATATAAATTTAAAAAAGGGCAATAGTTTGGTAACAACTCTTAAAGAAGTTGTCAGACAATTCAATTGTGAATTGCATGTCATTAGACTTAGGTGTGATGCAGAATAGTTTACCATGGAATTTGATATGAATCAGCAGATTGAAGAAGATAGGTATTGTTCAAGGCATGTAGGTACTGTAGCCTTTTTATGAAATTGTGTAGAATTCCTCTGAATGACCAGATCCCTCATAAAGAATTTAATATTAAAATCACAAAAAAAAAAAACATAGCCTATAGTATTTTGTTAGTGACTCATGTTGTATTTAAGCCTAGTTTCCCAATATGACAAGAGTGTGATTTCACCCTCCATCATTGCCCATTTGTGAAACATTCAAGACATCCACCAAACAGAGAAACTTCCAACTTCCTGTATCAATTGTGTGCAAGTTTCGAAGTCATACCTATTCTGTGGGCCGAGAAAATCCCCCAAACATATCTAAGCAATTCAAAGGATTTGAGGAGTAATTTTCAAAGCGTGATTAGCTGTGCATTGTGGGTAAGTTTCAAAGCTACACCTCTTCTGTAGGCCAAGAAATTCCTCTCTGAATATTAAAACAATGGAATTTTGTTAATGAGGTAGAAAACTCAGTTTAGGTGGTGGACCTGAAAAGAAGTCAAAAGCTCATGAACTCTCTTTTTCAATATTCACCAGTTTATGTCTTCCAAATAAAAAGAACAAAATGTGATTTTTCACGTGTTAAGAAGCACGTAATTAACTCTGCTTTGTGTATAAGTTTCAAAGCCACACCTCCTCTGTAGGCTGAGAATATTGAGACAATAGACTTTTGTTAATGAGCTTGAAAAATTGGTTTAAGTCCTGGACCTGAAAAGATGCCAGAAGCTCATTAACAAAATTCTTTTGTTTCAATATTCATACACTGATATCTCAACAACCGTAGGAATTAAAGGAACAATTATTAACGTGTTAGAAAGCACGTGACTGGTGGTGTATTGTGTGCAAAATTAAAGGCCACACCTATTCCAGGGGCCGAGAAAATCCCCTCTGAATATTGAAACAACAGAATTCTGTTAATGATCTAGAAAACTCAGTTTAGGTCGTGGATCTGATAAAATGCCAGAAGCTTATTAGCAAAATTCTTTTGTTTCAATATTCATACACTGATATCTCCGCATTAAATAGGAATTAAGTCCTGGACCTGAAAAGATGCCAGAAGCTCATTAACAAAATTCTTTTGTTTCAATATTCATTCACTGATATCTCAGCAACTGCAGGGATGTAGGAATAATGATTTACGTGTTAGAAAGCGCGTGATTGGTTGTGTACTGTGTGCAAAATTTAAAGCCACACCTATTCTAGGGGCCGAGAAAGTCCCCTCTGAATATTGAAACAACAGAATTCTGTTAATGAGCTAGAAAACTCGGTTTAGGTCGTGGATCTGATAAAATGCCAGAAGCTCATTAGCAAAATTCTTTTGTTTCAATATTCATACACTGATATCTCCGCATTAAATAGGAATTAAGTCCTGGACCTGAAAAGATGCCAGAAGCTCATTAACAAAATTCTTTTGTTTCAATATTCATAGACTGATATCTCAGCAACTGCAGGGATGAAGGAATAATGATTTACGTGTTAGAAAGCACGTGATTGGTTGTGTATTGTGTGCAAAATGTAAAGCCACACCTATTCCAGGGGCCGAGAAAATCCCCTCTGAATATTGAAACAACAGAATTCTGTTAATGAGCTAGAAAACTCGGTTAAGGTCGTGGATCTGATAAAATGCCAGAGGCTCATTAGCAAAATTATTTTGTTTCAATATTCATACACTGATATCTCCACATTAAATAGGAATTAAGAAGTGATTACTAACGTGTTGGAAAGCACGTTATTGGTTGTGTATTGTGTGCAAAATTCAAAGCTACACCTATTCCAGGGGGCCAAAAAAATCACCTCTGAATGTTGAAACAATAGATTTTTTCTTGTGAGGTTGAAAAATTGGTTTAGGTCGTTGACCTGATAAGATGCCAAAAGCTCATAAGCAAAATTATTTTGTTTAAATATTTATGCGCTTACAACCCAGCAATAAAAAGAAATAAAAGATCAATTAATAACGTGTTAGAAAGAGCGTGTTTAGCTGTCAATGGTGTGTACATTTGAGAGCACCTCCTCCTCCGTGCGCCGAGAAAATCCTCTCTGAATATTGAAACAATACAATTTTGTTAATGAGCTAGAAATATCGGTTTGAGTCGTGGACCTGACAAGATGCAAGAAGCTCATTAACAAAATTCTTTTGTTTCAATATTCACCCGCTTATATCTCCTCAATAAAAAGGTATGAAAGAATAATTATTAACGTGTGAGAAAGAGCGTGATAAGCTGTAAATTGTGTGTACGTTTCAAAGTCACACCTCCTCCGTGCGCTGAGAAAATCCTCTTTGAATATTAAAACGAAAGAGTTTTGTTAATGAGCTTGAAAAATCGGTTTGAGCCGTGGACCCGACAAGAGGCCAGAAACTCATTAACGAAAATTCTTTTGTTTAAATATTCATACACTGATATTTCAGCAACCGTAGGGATTAGAGGAACAGTTATCTATGCGTTAGAAAGCACGTGATTGGTTGTGTATTGTGTGCTAAATTCAAAGCCACACCTATTCCGGGGACTAAGAAAATCCCCTCTGAATATTGAAACAATAGAATTTTGTTAATGAGCTGGAAAAATCGGTTTAGGTCGTGGACCTGATAAAATTGTTAGAAGCTCATTAACAAAATTCTTTTGTTTCAATATTCATACACTGATATCTCAGCAACAGCAGGGATGAAGGAATAATGATTGATGTGTTAGAAAGCACGTGACTGGTTGTGTATTGTGTGCTCAATTCAAAGCCACACCTATTCCGCGGGAGAGAAAATCCCCTCTGAATATTGAAACAATAGAATTTTGTTAATGAGCTAGAAATATCGGTTTGAGTCGTGGACCCGACATGATACAAGAAGCTCTTGAAAAATTGGTTTATGTCCTGGACCTGATAAGATGCCAAAAGCTCATTAACAAAATTCGTTTATTTCAGTATTCATACACTGATATCTCAGCAACCTTAGGGATTAAAGGAACGATTTTTTATGTATTGGAAAGCACGTGATTGGTTGTGTATTGTATACTAAATTTAAAGCCATACCTTTCCCGGGGGCCAAGAGAATCCCCTCTAAATATTGAGACAATAGAGTTCTGTCAGGATACTCGGTTTATGTCGTGGACCTGATAAGATGCCAAAAGCTCATTAACGAAATTCTTTCGTTAAAATATTTATACGCTTATAACTCCGTAATAAAAGGAATGAAACAATAATTATTAACGTGTTAGAAAGAGCGTGATTAGCTGTGAATTGTGTGTACGTTTCAAAGCCACATCTCCTCCGTGCGCTAAGAAAATCCTCTTTAAATATTAAAACAAAAGAGTTTTGTTAAGGAGCTTGAAAAATCGGTTTGAGTCGTGGACCCGACAAGATGCTAGAAGTTCATTAACAAAATTCTTTTGTTTCGATATTCATACACTGATTCCTCAGCAACTTCAGGGAATTTAGGAATAATTATTAATGTGTTAGAAAGCACGTGATTGGTTGTGTATTGTGTGCAAAATTCAAAGCCACACCTATTTCTTGGGTCAAGGAGAATTTAGACAACAGATTTTTATTAATGAGGTTGAAAAATTGGTTAAAGTACTGGACTTGATAAGATGCCAGAAGTTCATTAACAAAATTCTTTTGTTTCAATATTCACACACTGTTATCTTAGCAACTGCAAGGATTTAGGAATAGTTATTTGTGTTAGAAAGCACGTGATTGGTTGTGCATTGTGTGCAAAATTAAAGCCATACCTGTTCCGGGAGCCGAGAAAATCCCCTCTGAACATTGAAACAATAGAATTTTGTTAATGAGCTGGAAGAATCGGTTTAGGTCGTGGACTTGAAAAGATGCCAAAGGCTCATTAACGAAATTCTTTTGTTGTAATATTCATACACGGATATCTACGCATTAAAAAGGAATGAAGTGATGATTTGTGTGTTAGGAAGAGCTTGATTAGCTGTGCATTATGTGTAACTTTGAAAGCCACACCTCTTCTGTGGGCTGAGAAAATTCCCTCTGAATATTGAAACAACAGAATTTTGTTAATGAGCTAGACAACTTGGTTTAGGTCGTGTACCTGATAAGATGCCTTAGGCTCATTTACAAATTTCTTTTGTTTCAATATTCGTAAACTCCTCTCTCCTTAAGATAGTTAAGGAGTGATTATTCTTGTGTTACAAAGCAGGTGATTGCCTGTGCAAGGTGTTTACGTTTCAAATCCACTCCTCTTCTGTGAGCCCAGAAAATCCTTTCTAAATATTAAAACAACAGAAATTTTTTAACTAAAAGCTAGGAAATCATTGAAAAGCTTTCTTGCGCATAGATCTAGATTGCTCTGGGATACTATTTCTTTGGTCAAGGAATATTCCCATAACTTCTTTCATTTAATTTAACTTGAAAAGGAAAGGAGGTAGGGGCAGGGATTTTTTCTGTCTTCAGGAGTAAATTTATCAGTCACAACCGTTAAAGGAGTCAAGAATTCAATACTATTCGCTCCAAAAAATCGTTTTATGAAAAACATACTTTAATGTATTTGATATATTTATTTACATAAATTTTGAAATAAATTCCTAGTAAATACTGTTCACTGGAATGTCTATTGTTATTACACAACAATAAACCTATGACATTTTAATATTGGACAGTAAGTGCTCAATCATTTGCTCAAACGCTAAATTCAACATCAGAGCAGAAAACACCTGCCTGGAACTTCTATTTAGTCAAGAGGATATTGCTCGTAAATTATCAAACAGAGTCTCCCAATTCTGTTTGATACTATAAGATACCAAATAGTAAATTGAATGTCTCCCCTCTGAGAAAGTTATTAAGTCTTTATTGTAATTTATTGTATCGTCATTAATACTACTTTATCTCTTTGGGTCCAATAATTCCAAACTTGCTGGTAAAGTAACATGTTTGTCATTTATTTACTCTCTTCATGTTCCACTTGAACTAATTCAAATTGATTTGATTCTAACTGCTTTGTATGCAATCCAGGTAACTTCCCTAAACAGAGTTGTCTTTGTTTTAGGTAATCTTCTTGTAAAAATGAACATTTAATTTTAGAAAAATACAGAGTGATCTTATCACCTTGGACTTTTTGCCTGACTGATTCTTACTTACTGTAAAGGCTCCTAAACATAACATAATAATCATAACAAGAACAAAAAATTGGGATTATCAATCCACAGGGTTTAAGTTCATCTAAAATAAATAAAAAAAGTTTGGCAAGTCAATTTGCCTTCCTGGCTTAAAAAATAATCAAAACTACATAAGCATCTTTTATTAGGAGGTTTGCAGAGAGTTTCATTGCATGGACATTCATACAGCAGCAAGGTACAGCACACATTTGTCTACCTGGTCCAAAAGAAAGGAAGCTCAAGTTTCTATACTCATAATTAACAATTGGTTCATACGTCAGCGTGCATTCATCAAGATATGAAGCACACAGAAAGTTTGGAGAGCACAAAAGATGCATAAGAGTTGCTTGAGGTAAAGCCGAGAGCAACTCTAGCTTCTTGAGTGCTCTCTAAACTTCCCAAGTGCTTCATATCTCAATGAATGCACAGCTCATGTATGAACCAATTGTTTTATAACATTTTCAACCCGATGGAAAATTTTTTTCTTGAGGAATATGTTTGCTGACGTCATGAGCGTGCACAATAGGAATATGAAGCACGCTCGCATAATTGAATTTGATAAACAAATTTACTAGCTATGTTATCAAAATGATTATTAAACTTAATCCTTTTCCAAGTGATGATATGTGAGAAAAAGAGTCAGTTCTTGTCATCAATATTGAAGTGTGATTTGTTGAAATCCACCTCTGGAGAGTATGTTGCTCAAAAACTGTTGTCAAAAGAGAAGTTTGGATCAACTTGTGCAACTTTTGCAGCGTAGAATGCATGCATCACTGTCAAAACCTGTTGCATATTAGTGAACTCTAATTCCTGAAACAAAATAAGAAGTAAACTTTTGGTTAACCAAAATCTTAAAAAATCATAATAGTTTTTTTATATAAATTTAAGAAAACCAAAGATGAAAGGACACACTAAAAACATAATCATAATCATTTACAATTTAACAATTTCTATTTTAAAAGCTAAAATACACATATTCTTATTATTCATCTCTGGTAGCACCAGAAAACACCTACATTCCAATTTTTTTACACTTAAGGTGTTACAGATGCAAAGTTACTGTGAAACTAAATATCTGTGAACACCTTAAAATGTTTCTGAAAGGTCAATTATGTACTGATCAAACAAAAAGTTCTCTTCTATTCTACTGTCGCTGTTTGTTTGTTTTCTGACTCTTAATTTACTTTCTCCTTGAAACAAAATTGCTTTCCATTCATAATTCTATAGTGTTCACAATGTATATGTAATTTCTGGTAACCAGCTCATGGAAGTTTTAAGTAAAGAGGCCATTATGAACTGAGTGACTCACCTGTCGATCAAAGGGACCAGCTGGTGACTGAGAAAACAACAAAACAATCTTACGAGATCCATCATCTGAAGAACCACGGAGAAATGAGAACCGATACTGCCACAGAAGAGACTGAAAAAAGAATATGAAATAAAAGCTCTGTAAGTCAGGATACACAAATAACTTTTATTGCTACCCTGTTTCTTAAAAGTGTTCTCAGAAATAGCCACTAACCCGATCTGTTCCACTGTATAGTCGCAGTCCTCTTTTCAGGTCCAACACAAGCTTCACACTCTGTCCACGCCACTTTCCTGGAAATGATCGTGACTGAAAATAACAATAACTCAATGAAGCCAGACTTACTTCAACAAAGCAGAGTCATACAAACAGAGCAAAAACTTAATTCAAATGGAATTGAACTACTTAATACTTAATTGAAATGTGTAAAATCTATCAAACCTCAATTTGTACAACAGCCTGATGAGTGGCCTCCTGTACTCGGTTGACAATCTCTGTCAAATCTGCTTCTGTGTCTGTCGTAAATGTAAGGACAATACAACCACAAAATAAAAATGATGATAAATGTTATAACAACAATATTAAAGGATTTGTACTAACAATAAAACACAAGGTAACACATTTCTAAGATGAGCCCCTGACTGTGGATACTGGGCAACCTCTTCCCATCTACTCAACACTAAAATTCTGAGTGTTGTATGCTGATCAGAAACTCAGAAAACCATTACCACCTACAAGGCCAGAATGTTCATCATCTCAGGACAAATTACATGTGAGCAAACCACAAAATCATACATGAATTGGCTTTGAGATGTACATCTAATATTTCTCACACCTGATTGGCTATTTTTTTTCCGCAACTTAATCACACTCCAAAACTATTTCCAGTGTTCATGGTTTTATGTATTATAAGGAAACAGTCATAATTGAAGTTCTGCAGATTAGAATTCTTAAGATTGTCCATTTTACCATTCTTCAAATCAGCTCATAGTTTGTTCCAGTCACCAATACTTTTTAAACTAGAAGGTAAACCTCCTTCAAAATACATGGTTTCCTTAAGGACAATGATGTCTACTCCAACTACACCAATCTTTGTTTATTCAATCAAAGTTTGATGATTTTCTTCCCTTGAAAGAGAAAGAGTTAAATATTTGATTAAGATAGTGAACTCACCAACTGCAAGATAGTGACTGCCACCAGAACAGGACTGGACAGTAAAACAGTTATCTCTCTTGTCCACTTGTTCATCTTCCTAAAATCCAAACAAGCTCAATTTTCAAACAAATTTGATAGATAAAAAATCAGTTGAGAATAAAAAAAGACCTAACGATTTTGGTGTTATTTCTAAGTTCCCATACCTTACATGTATGACAAACTATTTCCATTAAGTTGTAGGACACTTCACTTTGGAGCCAGTCTCTTGTGGCAACCTGTGGTGTAAAGGATCATGGAAGCTCAGATAAGGTGGGAACTCAAAAGTTTCCACCTTCCAGAAAAATTAAATTTAACAAATATTAAAAAATGGATGTTTCTTCAACTGACATTCCTGATGTTGGTTCTGACAATTCATTCAGGGACCAAAGCAACTAATTCAATCAAGTCCCCTCCCTAAACTGAGATCATACTTTCCATACTGTGTGTGTAAAATAAAATCCTTATTATCAAAAAGTATCTTTAATTAAGTAATCAATATGTATTAATTGTTTTAAAAGTTAGTGCATTATGTACTTACTGGTGGCATTTCAAATATTTGTAGTTCAGAGCCTTTAACTGTTAAAAACTTTCTTTTCCAGACATTCCAGTGATTTGTAGACCTAAGTCTTTCCCATATCCAACCCATGTGTATCACCTATATCAAAAATAAAATCAAACTCAATACTAAAACAAGATTCAATCGCCTCAGACAACATGTTCATTTGAATCTCCAGTACAGGTGGGAAAGTGAGGTTAGCAATCGAGCCAAGAAGCACAGATTGCTGGAGCTTTTCACTGTTTCCAGAGCAAAAAGTAACTAGTAGTAATGATACTCTTCCCTGGATGCAATGTTGTGAACAACCAAGGGTTGTCCCCCCCCCCCTCCCCCCCCCCCTCCCCAGTGGAGAGAGGCACTGTGAGAGTTAGGTTTTTGGCATAAGAACACAACACAATGGCCCTGCTGACAGGTCTCTTAACTGAACCTCTTAACCTGCAGCTCAGAACTCTAAACATTAGGCTCTACATTTCCCACAAATCTCTGCTATGGATCTGATTTAATATATATATATATATATATATAAGAAATGGTGGTGATGCAGTGAAAATTTTTGATATCCATTTGGTTAAATGTTCGATGTTGTTAAACGTCAAAATGTGGTAACTGTTAAGATTGTCTTACTTGCTCAGAGGATGGTAAAGATGCACTGGACAAGTTCATCTGAAAAACAAAAGAGGAAACAAATTCAACAATTGATTGTCTCATAATCCCCATAATCATATGAGGGACATACATGACGTGAAGCAAGGCAGGAAAAAAAAAACAGGCCACATGTACAGCCCTATATGACACAAGTTTGAGTAATAAAAGGGGGAAAGAAATATTGGCTGATATAATATAAAATCTTTACAAGGATTTAATGTGGCTTGGTCAAGAAAATTTGGCTCTTTGTCATGATTTTTCACACTTAAAATATTGTCTTTCTAGATCTTTCATCCAGTCACTCAGTACATAATGTTAAATAAAATCTTCATTTAAAAAAAAAGTCATTTGTAAGTGGGGACAAAAAGGCTCCAAATTATATTGCCAGAGAAATAACTGACATCACATTCAAACCTCCAGAGATTCCAAAGGATGAAAGGAAAGTACATTTCCATATGTTTCAATAATGATTATGCAGCACCTATCATATGCAGCCCTTGTGTTCTATAAGTTAACAACTGATGGCAGAAAACTTACAGCTTGTTCCAACAACAGAACCACTCTGTCTTTGATTGCTGAGTACCAAGACAACAGTTCCACTTTATTCTCACTGTAAAGCACAACTGAGGCACCACCATCCATTGAGCTGACTTCAAATGCATTGCTCCTGTCACAATACACCAAAGAAATAGTTATTAAAAGACATTAGAAACATGTTGGCTAAGTGATTAGGGTAGTCACCTCTGCAATAAGAAATCTGAGTTTAAAACCTGACTGGGTCATTGCATTGTATTCAGGGCTGAAATACTTTATTTTCACAGTGACTCTCTCCACCCAAGAGTATGAATGAGTAACAGTAAACTGTTAAGTGATCCCGACAAAATTCTGGGAGGGGGATGTGGGGGGGACCTAGCCTCCCATCTAAGGAGAGTGAGAATATTCCTGGCTGTTTTGTGGTACAGGAAACATAACAAGTTCCAGCAGTTAGGTGCCACTTGGACTCAAAGATTTCCACTTTTAAATGTGAACTGTAGTTATGGCTGTTAATTTACAAGGAGCCTCTCCTTCCATGTACCACTGCTAAGGCAAACTAACAAGATCAATTCTCTCAACAGGAAATGCTTGGCAGTACAGTCTTGATCAAACACAGTGTTTTACATTTAAGCTTTGAACATATACCTTAATGTGTCTTCCCCTGACTTGTATCTTGACACTGAAGCAAATGTCAGAGGAAGAACAATGTTATCTGTCCAGCTCTGAAGAGATGAGTTAGAATCTGTTTCTCCAACTTCAGACGACTGCAAATAAAAAAGTCAATGCACAAAATTAAAACTGGAAAGTTAATACAACAAAAAGGATTTTCTATATTTCTGAGATATGACTTGTAACAAAATGTACCTTTTGACTGCTGTTCTCTCTACATTCAGCATCACTTGATGACTCTTCAACACTTCTAACAATTCCATTTGCTTTGAAAGGAAAAATCAATCAACCCTTACTATGTGTATCATTAGAAATATACTGGATTTTCCACAAAAGTATTATGAAATCACCAAATTTAAAATAACTTAATATGAACCCACAGGTATCAAAGAAACCTTTTTGACCTCTAATAATTTCTATTGTCAATGTAGCTTGGCAGGGATTTCATTTAGAAATGTAGTGCAAGAGAAGAGAGCAAAGTAAGAGGAGAACAAAAAAAAGTACAGGCTAACAACACTGAACTGGGAAAACCACTGAATGTCTTCATAGTATAACATACCTTGTTTTGATACACTGGACTGACTCACTTCAGAAGTTGTTCCTGCTGTCATTTCACTATCATTAACTAAAAATGAATGAAGCATTAGGTTGATGTGGAGACACAATTCTACCACAGAACTGAACAATACAACAGAAACTGCGCAACAGAGGACTGTGCAAACCTATCAAAAACCCTATTAACAGGGATAGTTCTGGCCAACATGTATGAAACCCAGGCTTTCCCACCACAAGTCATTTCTTATTTTCTCTTTCCACGCAATAAATATTAAACATATAACTAATCTTTGCCTGCATTATCATGAATACCTGATGAATGGGAAGAAGAGTGAATGACAGTTAGTTCAATCTCTGAACCTCCCTTTTTAAGAACAGCTACCTAGAAAAAAGGAAATTTATAAAAACTTAACACTTTGGGAACCATGCGAACACATCCAGGGTAAAACAAACCAAACATGAGGGCCTGAACTGGTTCAACTTACTGCCTCATCATGTGTGGCTCTTCTTATGTCTTGTCCATTAACCTAAAAAAAAAACATAATAATTAGCTGAGTAGATATTTTGTAGGGAGAGTACATAACAGCTTATGAATTTGACATTGAATACACATCAAAGGTAGCATGATGGAGATCAAAGGGTCAGACCTTAATATAACAATTAAGAAAGTTTTTCTGAGGTAACTTAAGCCTGAAAAGGCCTGTGAAAAAATCATCCTCTACCTATACTGACCTCAAGTATAATATCACCTTCATGAAGTTGACCTGTTTCATAAGCTAAGACAGCAAAAGAAAAATTGATTAAAACAAAAAAAATACTACACAAATTTCCAGGGTATTAATGACAAGTAAAAGTTACAAAGTAATATAGTTATACCTGCTTGATCTTTGTATATTTTTGAGATAGCTATTGGAAGATTACTCTCTCGTCCTCCCTATAAAATATATTTTTTAATACAGTGAGGTGCACTGACCTTTAAAAAGCAAAAAGGCAAAGAGACTCAAGGAGGCAAAAGCTTTCTCTATCAAAGCTTACCTTAATACTCATTCCCAGTCCCCCTACTTTTCTCTTGGTGAGCTTCACTTTTCTTTCCTAGGAATAAAAATGATCCCACGAGTCTGATACCGACTGATCTGTTTATAATTGCCTATATTGTATAAATCTGCAGTCAACACAATAAAGTATATCAGACACTACATCTTATTTCTCATCTATTGTAAGATTTATTTGACTTATATTACCACTAGACACTTAGGAACAACATACCCCTATGGGGGGTGTTGGCTTCTTTTGAGTAGGAGAGGAAGCTTCACCATTTGTGCTCTGAAAAAAAATAAACCAAAGCTATATTTCAAACTTCTGTTCTCTCTTTTGGGGTATGATTTTTTTGATCAGGTGAGTATTTTTCAGTGGATCTTGTAAGAAGACTTGCTTGCATGGATATTCTTACTTAATATATGGTCCTCCCCTAAATACATCCCATCTGAATTGGAAACATCTCCAATGAAACAATCCAAAACTTATCAACTGGTTACAGGTTTCAAGTGATGTAATTCATGAAATGTACCTTATAGACACAAAGATACACATCAGTTTTTATGGTACAATGGTGAGAGGGTACGCATATTCTACCCAAATATGACCCAAGTTCATATTCTGCTCAACAAGGTGCCATATGCAGTTAAATGTAATTAATTAGATGTCAACCCTTACTCCTACAGGCAATCTCTTAATCTTTGTTTCCAGAAATACAAACATTCAAATTCTCATCCAATATTTCACTGTCCCTTGGACACTCATATGATTGGGTGTGAACTATAATCAACTTAGCATACTACTTTGATAAAAAAAAACTTTCATTCTTCTCATTTCCAAAGACACTCTTCAGTAAGTTTTCAACATGCATTATTTGGTGGATATTGATAAGCTTAATATCTTACAGTGAATGGGGATCTCTTCCATGTTGGGGACTCAGCTTTGCCATTTGTGCTCTGGAAACAAACAAAAAAATAAAACAGCTGACAGTGTGTGACTACAGATGTAAATCTGCATGGCTTTAAGAAGTATCGGTAAGGAAACTAGAGGATGACTGCAGTCTTTTACTTAACAAAAACACACCTTGGACAGCAAATCTAGTGGTACATACATTTAGGGGGCACCCTGACTAGAAAAAGTGTTCCCTGAATAGGAGTGTCCCTTCAATCAGTACCCAGATACAGAGGTTATACAGTGGACCTGTGTTTAGGGACTCCCATGGGACAACAGAAAGTGTCCCCTGACAACAGTATCTTCTTGATTGAAGTGCCAGGTCCTTGCCTGTAGGATTAACTTCTGCTGGTCTTTGATCCTGTATAGAACTATCTTGTTTACCCAGGATCATGAGTGTGTCAGAGCCATAAGCCAAATCTTAAGAAAATTGAGAAGTTGTGATTTTTCCCACCCCAGTGCTATCAAGCTTATGATACTGCCACTCTGATTTCTAATTTTGACAAAATCGAAATTGCTCCAACAACTTTAATCATAACTCCAGATCCCACTCTGTTGCCGATGAAAACCAGCCTTGAAGTTATGCCCAAATTAATGCAAATTGAAATAAATAAGCAAGGTACACATCAATAATCCACAAATAAATTAAGTAGAAAGTGAATGGAGAGTTAAGAGAGTATCAATGTTGAAACACTCAACCTCAAAGTTCCTTTAAGTAATGTAGAAGTGCCATCTATCAAATAATTACTATGCATTTTCGTTATTATCAATGGCATTTCGAAATTATGTAACAGTTTTCATACACAAATTAGTGTTTTACTAAACCAAAATAGTACATGTAAACTATTCTGTTTTTTCCTTCCTGTTTCATTTTTTAAACATAATAACCTACAAACAGTTTTCGGGTATTTTTAACTCAAATATCTTTACATTCATAGACCAGATGACTAATGTACATAACTGTCTAATGTATATCGTGAAAGCATTTATCTCCGACAATCAAATGCTTCAAGGAAAATAGAAAAGCTGATGTCTTTTTTCCACCGGATACAAGCAATCGTATTGTTCCAATTCTAATAAGTTTTTTTCGGGCATAATGAGCGAACAATAATGTTCTTAAGGCCATTAATTATAAACAGAGCTTGCTTTTGCCGCAATGTATCACTTACAATGATGATTAAACGGTGACCCGTACTGTTTTCCTTTCTGTTTCGTATTTTGCCCGACCTGTCTAAGAATTTGACTTTTTTCAAGTGAAAATTGTGTAAATGCATTCATCAAATCGAGAAATTATAAAGGAAGCAATCACAAGTGATGCTTTGTTAAAGTTTTAAGGGATTTTTTTCTCGTTAAATGATCATCGTACCGAACGAGAAGTGTCCACATTATACTGCGCCTTTCCTGGAATCCAGGGAATACATTTAAACAATATAATATTTTCTTATCCTGCTGAACTCAGATACAAAATAAAAACTACCGTATTTAGTGACAAGAAATAAAAGAGCTATGATGAGTCAAATGCGTGAACGTGAGTGCTGCATGGCAATCAATTAGTCTTTGACCTTGAACAATGAAATCGATTCTTGTCAACGCTCTGTGAGCACGACTTGTTAAAAATTAAATGTATATTCAGTCCAATGTCCAGCAAATTGCGATAAAAACACCAGGAAAGTGTCAAACAAGTTATGTAAACCCACCTCAGGCTGGTTAACTGGAGAAGAAGAAGAAGGGGAAACACTGCCAGTTCCTTCCTTTTGAATGGTCAAAGCATCCCGGGAGAGCTTTACTCGAACCTTCTGGAGCTCAGCTCGGTTGATTTGCATCGAAATACACCCTGTTTTCAGGAAATTCTGTCGGGAAAACAAAAAATATCAAAGTGAGCACTAATTCAACGTTATCTATACTTTAGCGATAGCTTGTGACTGAAGAATAATTAATAACTCTGCGCGGATTATTCAGTCCAAGTGTTCGATTACCTCCGCCATTTTTCCGTGTATTCACCGCCCGCAATTCGCCGACCTCAAGGCTGCTCACACATTGACCATGAATAAAATAATTTCATTAAAACAAAAACAGCTCTGTGAAGCGGGTCTTAATTTGCAAATTTTGTAAAAATATCCTGCAGCGCTTAAACAACCAGCAGAACTCTTGACGAAATGCAATGTTTTGATTTCGACTTCAGATATTGCGGGCGCATTCACAAACCAATGTTTGCATAACTCGTCCAAAACTGACAGAATTAATGTAAACTGTGGGATATTCCAAGACAAAATTCCTCTCGCCATATCAAAAAGATTCCCCGATGAGCAAAGCTTCTTAGGCTTTCAAAGTTATTTTAACGAAGTAAAAGAATGACTTCCGATAAGTTAAAATATTGTAAGATTGGGATCAAAATTCTCGGCGCTAATTTTCAATATTTACTATGGTTATCAGTTGAGAGAAAATTGTTTTGGATCAGAATGCTTCTGGAAAAAGAAAGCGCGAGTTCATCGTAAACGAATTTCCTAAAGAACATAATGGCAATTGAAAACTGACAATCGCACTTGTTTTTCTGCTTTAACTGTTTAATATGTCAATTACGGGTGACATGTTTTGATCAATAAATATCGCGCCCGAATCACAAGACATCCTCAGGAAGACAAATTTTGCACAACCACATCACTTGCATTCATATCAGCATGTACCAACCAGGCAACAATCACATGCACTGCGGACTTTCTGAGTGGAAACTGAGTAGGCCAGCACTAGTTCGTAAGTTTTTTTGGCTCTATAGGTCAGGCCTTCATTTCGTACCATCACCGTTTTGTGTTGAAACTATGAGCCCTACAGGCCGCCAACTCTGAAAATGGATTTTAAAACCTGTCTTATGGAAAAAAAAATTTAGGGGAAAATGATAACGTTCAACGTGCGCTCTCAACAATTGCCTCTAACAATCTGCTTTCCTGTATGAAAGCTGAAAGAAATTGGGATTTATTTCCCTTCAAACTTTTCGTAAGAGAAATGTTCAATTCACTAATATAAAATTTTCCTGGGTGTGTCAAGGCTACGATCAGTTTCCTTGTTATAAAGATTTCCTTTCTTTGAAAAATTTGTAGCAATACCTGTTTGCTATGGAACAAAAAAACGTTCTTATCATTGAGACTCTTTATTCCTCTTGTATCACAATGTAAATTTGAAACACAATCATGGCTTCGGATGGGTTTTTTTTTTTTTTCGGTTCCTACCTCTACCAGGCGGGCTGCATACAATGTCTGAAATCCAATTATACAATTACCTATCAATCAGCTATGAGAATCAGGGAACTGAGCAATAGGCTATTTCAGATAACGTGATAGCTCCTTAGATCATCGGATTGTCCTCAAATTTTGAAATTATTTTTTCCCTGGATATAACACTGATATAAATTTTTTAGATAAATCGAGATTAGCAACAAAATGAACGTGGTAAGAGTTCTATTGTTTTGAGAACTCGTTCATCAAACTGGAACTACTTTGTTTGATCAGTTAACAGTCAGACTTCTCTCAGATTTCTTGGAAATAAACAAAATTCAGTGTCAACTCTTGACGATCTATCGGATTAAAAAAACGCGATCAAGAAAAGAGGCTTTTATCCGATTTTGAAATAAGATATGCTGATTGATAAATGCATCATCAATAACTAGGTTTGGTTTAATTAAATCAAACACGTGCAGTTTAATGTCTATACTTGCTGGTCGCTACACGCTACACGAGTGATAGGTGTTACTACAGTCATGTGCTGCCGTTGCTTGTTCGTCGAACGCTTCTGATAAGTATAAAATACATGCACTAACATTGCTTTCAAGTCGGAAGCATTGCATAATTTTGATCTGACACACACTCGGCAAGCACTGAAAAACCCGAGGTCAATCACTTACCCAAGATAGCGCCGCATTGCTTCACTGGCTGGGACTACAAAACAATTAGATATGTACAGTTTGGCGTACATTCAAAACAGGAGTTGCACACGCATTGTAGGATCACGACATCTGAAATACTTTCAGACGGCATGAAAACAAACCTCTGGCTATGGAAAAGGAGATAAAATCTTCGAAAGAAAAACTAACCAATCGGATGAGCCCATGAACAATTGAAAACAGCGTGAGGCTATTTTCTGAAATTAACTTTCATTTTGTTTTGACAGAGAAACCGCTTAAGGAAGGAAATTATTTCGGTTCGTTCATTAGTTAAACGCAAATCGCTTAGTGATGGCTGTGACAGACTTAACAGCCCATGATTCGACTGCCTGGTTTAAAAAACGCTCTTTTTTAATAAGTAGGAATCTTCTTTTTACTAAAGATGGAACCCTTTAGAAAGGTAAATACTGGCGCTAAATTTAACAGGCAGATTCCACAGAAAAAATTCAAATTTGTGGTTATCAATGTTTTTGTCGACAGGAAACAAGAAACAGATAGAGATAGTGATTGTTGCTTGGCAGAGAGATAAGGAGTCTGTGATCCACTGAAACTTTATTTGCATAAAGCCATTTTAAAAAAATTTTTAAAAAAACAGACAACTGACAAAAGCCGCATCTCATGTAGAATTTCACACCGCACAATTTTTGACCGGCAACAAGCCACTACATTATGCTCAAATTTGAGTTGAAATTCTAACTTCTTCCGGAACCAGAGAGTGTGTAAGTGGACGCCAATAACTTTGCTATCATGCTGAAACTAGAACAAGAAGGTAAAAAAAAAAAAAAAACTCAACAAAACGAAAAAGAAAATAAGGCGAAAAAAAATAAGCAAAACGTAAACAAAGATGGAACTACAGTGCATCACCGACTGAACAAAACTGTGTAAAATAGTTACATTTTAAGCATAAGAAAAAAGACATTTTTCATGATAAAAATATTATATGGAGATTCCAATGATATTCCAGGAGCCGAGACTAACTGTCATGAAAGCAGTTTCATAGACAGACAGTATGCTCTGTGGTTTTAGCGCAATCCGTTTATACAACACTTAAACAAATTTTTCCGAATAATACTATAAGAGCTCGTTATCCTCTTATTAATTCCTTTTCATGCAGAATACTGAACGTTCCGAGTAATTAGCTCTTGGGCGGCAATCAGTCGAGCGCGACGCTAAGAATGCAGTAAAAATTCAAGAGTTTCTTCGTGAGTTTTACACGAAGATTATTTCACATCTGTTGTTTGGAGAAATTTCTGAAATAGTGAATTTTGAGGCAGTGAATGGAGCAAAGGTCAGAATACATTGTAAAAGACATCCACTGTGCTTTGTCTTTGAATACAGTGTACGTGATTTATCATATAAACTGTTGTCAGTGTGTTGATTAACTTGTGAAGATCTGCAGAGTAAAGGTCACGGTATGAAAAACAAAGACAAATCTTTGAGCAAGAGCACTCTTCAGACGTGGACCGGTTCATATTGTATAAAGTAAGACATAATTAGCAACGAAACCTTCTTCTTGATGCGTGAATGAGACACACAATTCTCAGTACAGCCATTTTAAAATAATTTCATCGTGATATTAGCGAAGGTCACTGAACGTTGAGTATGGATAATAAATTAAGATGCTTTTCCTTTCATTTCACTTTGGATTTACTTTAACACACCCGGGAAATATGGGTGATCTGCTAATCAAGTTAATGAAGCCTCTTAAGCGCGCCTCCTTCACAGCAGAGAAGCAATAATAAAGAATGATCGACTCACTTAACTTACTTAATCACGTATCGTACGTAACATGCTGATCGGCAAACCGGTCCACTTCGCCAGCCTGTCGAACCACTCTCACTTACCTTTTTAAGACACGAATATTCTGAGACAAAGTTTGGTTTGTAAAAGGAAAACTTGAACCACACTTAGAAATAATCGCACTTCTCTCGCTTGACGAAGGACAGGTTCCGTACAAGTCCAGAAACACTGATCGGCAAATGTCGTGACAAGTAATATAATATAATATAATATTGACATTCCACGCTAAATTATTTCCTTTAATGAAGAATTTAGGGTCAATATACATCCAAGTGGTCAATGAATTCCCAGTAACAATATAAGCTAATGGCATTATACAAGGTAATTCAGACACGTTTCTCGAATATTAATAGTGGCTGTCAGCCCACTCATTTAAAACAACTCGTTATTCTGAGTCGATGTGTAACATGGAGCACTTCAGGATCTTCACGTTGAAATATTTAAAGAAGGTTCGGAACTTCATCCTGCTGGGTAATAAACAGCCAGCCGTGAGATAGTTTAGTGGACTGGAAACTGATCGGTGACAGAGAGAAATCATCTGCCCGTCGCTCTTTATGATACCCTCCCCTTTCGCCATCGAGTTTTCTTCGCGATAACCTCCCCAACAGAGTTTTTTGTAAGAAGATTTCCTCAGTCAATTTCGATATGGTTCGCTTCATCGTTAGAAATAACAACAACAACAAAAACTAATGCGAATTAGGTTCTCATAATATTATTTCACCAGTATGAACAAAGCTTAACTTTTCTGAAATTTTGACCAAATTTTGCAACCATGACAGCACATAGCAATCGTGGTAATTCACATAAAAACAAGGAAGTTTTCTAACTACAACAAAAAAGGCCAGATAGATATATATATATATATTTTTAAGGTAACATGTTTTGATTGAGCGGGTTGCAAAGCGGTGTCTCGCTCTCTTACACAAATACTTTTCTAAGCTTCTTGCTTTACTAAGTTTTGCACGAAAAAGTAATTATTTCAAGACCATCCCCATGTTACACATTTCTTTCGTTGCCTTCTTTAACTTTGTACAGATCATCTGTCATTTCCTAAACCTACTGCACATAGGTTTATAACAACTGTCTTTATATTAAAATTCAGCTGATCTATTTTTGCAGTATAAATAAATTTATTATTATTATGATTAATATATTTTCATCACATAATATTAAAAGCGAGATAAATTATCAATCAACCCCTAACTTGACAAGTACAAATCAAACCCGTCCCATTCTCACGCACGCTTTGAACAATCTTTGGCTGAGAGCATAGAAACTAGCTTCCAGTCATCATTTGCTACTTCTTCTTTCTCAGTCCAGGAACATGAGCATATCTGCCAGCCATACCATCCTGGTCGTTATCCAAGTCCCAGTCGGACGGGTCACTTACAAACGATGGGACAAGTCTGCTTTCATCTGTCAATAACAAACATATG